AAGGTGGATAAGCAGATGGAGGGGCAGGGGCAGGGTTGGGTGGAGCCTGATTCTGGAGGGCTTATAAGCTTGAGGCCCACCCAAGGGTGGGGGACAGGATGTTAGTTCCAGCTCCCCTCAAACCTCATCTCATGAGCTTCTTGGGCTGGCCAGTGGCCCAGGGTCAGCTTGGGCATAGGTTCCTCAAGGCTGACTAGGAGCCCCTGCCTCCCCACCATGGTGCCAGGGTCTCTCTCCACCACCGCCTTGGAAAAGGAGGGAGATGTTTGTGTCAAATATTCATCTAGTCCCCTGGGGGAGGGGAAGGGTGGGTCTAGATATATTCAGAGAACTATACTACTCCCTGCATTGGGGCCATGGATTGGGGACGCCAGGCCCCCGCAGACCTGGGATGTGACAGAGCAAGTCTGGGGGTCGGGTGGGGAGTACGGGAGGAAAGGGCCTTCTTAGGAAGGATAAGGATGGGGTCTTGGGGTCAGGATGCCTGGGTCTCTCCATTCCCCTGTTGCCGTCTGAAGTCCTGTGCCGTCTTGTCTTTTTTTTTTTTTTTTTTAATTGAGATCAGAGCTGGGGCAGGGGAACAAGGGAAGGACCTTGGAAGGGGCTGCTCCCAGGTCTGGGGGCAGTCATGGCAGCCCCTCCCAGCTACGGGGCTGGCACAGAGCCCCATGGCAAGCTTTTAATAAACTGTTGGTTATTCTAACAGACCCCAGGACTCATGCTTTCTAAGCTGTGTATTAAGGACTGTTCAGTGGCAGGTGATAATGTTACTTGTATTTAAAAAGAGGATTTATTGGGCTGTATAACTAAAAATTGCAGTGTTCTTAATGACTTCGGCCATCACTAGATCCAGAGCCTTAGATGGGATCATTAGACTTTTGACCTCTGCTTCCCTTTGCTTTGGCTTCAAAGATTTTTAGAAGATTCACTTCATGCTCAAGCTCCTAGCAGCTCCAGGGTTACATCTTACCAACAACTTCAACAGCAAGAATCCCAGCAAATTCCTGAAGTGACCTCACTGGCTCCATCTGTAGCCAGAGGACTGGCATGGTGCTCCAATTGGTAAGGTGTAGGTCCTATACCCCCAACCCCTGAATGCTGAAAGGGTTGGCCCATAGACCAAGGGGCTGTTTTTATAAAGGGGACGGAAGACATAAACAACAGCTGTCTCCAAGTTATTTCATTTTGTGCTTCACAATCTTAAAGCCAGTTTTTCATAGAGTCCTTCCAACAAGACAGGAGGATCAGAGAGGCACACTAGTCAGACTGGAGGAAGATTAGGAGCCACACTCTTCTAATAGAGCCTGGTGGCAGACTGGATGGCAGGGTCTAAAGGCTGGGACTCCTTTGGAGAACCTGGGGGAAATTAAAGGGAACGAGATGGCGTGGGTGGGATGAGAGTAGGGGACTAGTTTTAATGAGGTGATTCAAACTCCTTTATTGAGTCTTAAAAAATAAACTCCTGTAAGCACTTTAAACTGAGAACGTGAAACAAATAGGATCCCAGCAACTGTACCTGGGGGTTTCAAGTCTGAAGAAAGGTGCTTCTCTTTGGGCACAGAGTTTGGGTTGGTGGGGGTGCTACAGATGTGTGCTTTCCACAAGTGTGTAAAGTTCCTCCTGGTAGACGGGGAGCTTAGTTACTCTCGCCGTCACTGCTGATGATGCCACGCATATGAGACCAGTCCGGGCGTGGGGCACAGTGCCGCTCTTCCTCTGAGTCCAGGGTCCGGCGGTATAGCTCCCCAGGGGGCGCTGCTTCTGAAGGGTTCCAGGCAGTGCGTCTGCGTGGCCGACCTGGGGGGAAGGAGTAGATTAGTTGTCTGAGGCAGTCCAAGCCCCATCTGTTCCTGGGCAGGGGGAAGAAGCCCCTCACCTGAACAGCTGATGATGTTAGTGATGTCCAAGGATGCCACCTCGGCTGCCTCCTCACGCTGCTCCTTTAGAGCCCGACACTTCTCTAAGGAAGGGTTACCTGGGGCAGAAGAATCTGGTGATCCTCTCCTCCCCAGCAGCCAAGGACCTCTCCTGCAGCCCCAGGGCACACCCGGCCTAACCCTTCATGCCCAGAGCTTCCAGCTCTGCCCGGAGGACACACAGGCGCTCCTTGCGCGAGCGGCAGGAGCCCAGCAGCTTCTTGTAGTTGCGATGGGCGCCACAGGCCCGAATGTAACGCTTTAGTCTCATCACAGCAGGGTGGTCCTCATCACGATGACCAGACTGACAAGAAAAGACAACAGCTGAAGGTCAGGTCTTCTGGGTTTGACTCTAGGTCTCCCTCTTCACTTAATGGCGGCCTCCCACCCCATCTTCATCCTCACCTTCCTGCCTCTGGGTTCCGGGCTGCCATTTGCAGAAGAGGAGGAAGAGCTTCGGGACCTGCTTTTCTTGGAGCTCTTCCTGTAAGAGCGGTTCTTCCTCTCCCCCTTGAGGGTCCCCCCTGCCTCACTGTCACTCACCTCCCTCTCTGAGTCACTTGCCTCACCATTGGTTGTCTTTCTACTTTCTACTTTGGCTGACTTTCCCATGCCTTTAGTAGCTGGTTTCAACTTCCTCCAGCTGTCTTCCCCATCCTCCTTGCTGCTGCCACTCTGCCTTTTGCCACCATCCCGCTGAGTCCTGTTCTTGCCCTTCCTCTGCACTAGGGGCTCTTCATCTCCCCCACTGCTATCTCCGCTGCCTGCTGCTGCTTTTTCCTTCTCTTCCTCTCTGTCCTCCCAGTCTCCCAGCACTTTTGCTGCCAGGCTTTTCTGCTTACTGCTCCTCTCCTCCCAAGCTGACTTTTTCCCTCCATTGTTTGGAGCTCTGGGTTTCCAATCCTCCTCTCTGTTCTCTTTCTTGGCTAGAGTCTCCTCCCCCTCACTCTCCATTTCACTTTCCTGGTGCCTTTTAGCTTTTTTGTTTTCCATCCTTTGGGCAGGTTCTTCCTCACTGTCCTCACTCTCCATGGCCTGCTTCCTACTAGCTGAAATCTTGTCTGGTACCTGCTTGTTCTTAATGGTGGCCTCCCCCCCCATCTTCATCCTCACCTTCCTGCCTTTGGGTTCCGGGCTGCCATTTGCAGAAGAGGAGGAAGAGCTTCGGGGCCTGCTTTTCTTGGAGCTCTTCCTGTAGGAGCGATTCTTCCTCTCCCCCTTGAGGGTCCCCCCTGCCTCAGTGTCACTCACCTCCCTCTCCGAGTCACTTGCCTCACCATTGGTTGTTTTTCCATTTTCTACTTTGGCTGACTTTCCCATGCCTTTAGTAGCTGGTTTCAACTTCCTCCAGCTGTCTTCCCCATCCTCCTCACTGCTGCCACTCTGCCTTTTGCCACCATCCCACTGGGTCCTGTTTTTTGTCACACGTTTCTTCCTAGTCCTGCCTTTGGACTCCTTTTCCTTATTCCCTTCCTCACTGCTCTCTTCTTTCCAGACCTTACTTGTTCTAGCAGAGCTCTCCTCCTCCTCCTCCTTCCAGCGCTCCTTCACCGCCTCCTCCTCTAATCCAGTCTTGTATGCAGTAAGGTCCCTCTGCTGTTCCTCCTCATCGCTGCTCTCAATTGCTCTTTTTGAGGCCCGCTTTGGACTCTCCTCTATGGGACTGGCTACTGCCCCCATCCCATTCTTCGCTGGGTGGCTGGAGCAGTCTGGACTGGAGGCTGCAGCACTGGGCTCTGGAATGTGGAGAGAAGAGAAGGTTGGGACAGGTTCCTCCTGCCCCTTTTCCCTCCACTTGGGATAGGTTGTCTCAAACCCTGCTTTAGACAGAAGAAAGGAGAGGAGAGACAGCAGGAAACGGCCCATCAGTCCACCCTGTTCCGGGTTCCTGACTCACTGGCTTCACGACCTCATCCAATGCCTTGGGACATATTACATGCACAGTAAATACTTTCTGAATGAACCAACTATGCAGAAGGCACTAACCTGAATCCGAATTCAAACGGAACCTTTTCCTCTCTGGGTCACTGCAGGAGGTGGGAGGCCTCTTTGCCTTCTTGGCAAGGTCTAGTCCTCTGGCACCCGCTTCATCCCCCTGTTTGTGCATCAAGAGGGCAAAACGTGTATCAAGGCGATGCTCTGCTACACCCACTCTCTGGCCCCTACTCCTCGGCAACAAGCCCTGCCTCCCGTGGAGGGAGTTCCGCCCTCACCTGCATCTTCAGCAGTTCCTCCTCCACGAGCCGCTTCAGCGCCTGCTTCTCCTTGGGATCCAGGTGGTCGCGGCCGGTGTGAGCCAAGAACCTTCGCCGCACGATGGAGTGGGTGAGCGTGCTGCGGAGAGAGATGTCAGGGGGAGTCCCCAGCCCGGCCCTGCCCTTGTCCACCCCCACCCCAACCTCCAGTGCACCTGAGGTCCGGGCGGCCTCGGAAGAAGCTACGGGTGAACTCCCGCAATTCGTTCTCCCGCGCCATTTTGCGCGGGTTGGGATTGGTGGCCCCCGCCTTTTTTCTTCCCGGCCTCCGTTAGCGCACTTGACAGGAACGTGCGCACGCGCAGTGTCGTGGCGTTGTAAGGCGAGGGACCGTTGGGTGTCGGTTGTGGGCCGCTTGGACCGAGGGCTTTGCCAGACAAACCTTGATTTCCCGGCAGTTGGAGGGTCTCGCGGCTCCTCCCTTTTTTTAGATTCGGCGCGGCCACCTTTGGGTGTACGTAATCAGTCCGCGACGCCTCCGTCCGTGGTCTCGTGCCAGCTAGGCCGCTGTGACTTCGGAAGACAGAAGAAAAGGGACATCTCTCCTGAAAACTAGGACTCCCCGGGGGAAGAGTCTTGTGCCTGCCAATCTCTGAGCACACGTAGAATCAGTCAGGGAGAACCTCTGGCGTCCGCCATCTTTGTGACGTCATCAAGTCGCGGCGACACCATCTTTAGCTTCGTCCCGGGTAGCAAAGTTCCTTTCCCGGTATTCCCTGAGAGGGCAACGGGGTGGTAACGAAACCTGGGCGCGGGGCACGCCGGGGATTGTAGTCCCCGCGGGCACGGTTTGACTTCGTCTCCGGAAGTGGGGGGTGGAGAGGCGGGGCCGAGCGCTGGGAGGGTAGCGGGACTTCAGTGCTGGGCGCCGCTCCGGGGCTGGTCATGAACGGGCCGGCGGACGGCGAAGTGGACTACAAGAAGAAGTACCGGAACCTGAAGCGGAAGCTCAAGTTCCTCATCTACGTGAGTGCGGGGTGAGGAGGTGGGGGTGAGGCCTGCCTCCGGGAGGACCGCGGTTTTCCCACGAGGAAAGGGAGGGGTGAGCTGTCGCCAGGTTCCGGCCCTTCCCGGGCCCCGCCGGCTCAGCGCGCACCTGACTGTGATGCAGGAACACGAGTGCTTCCAGGAGGAACTGAGGAAGGCACAGAGGAAACTGCTGAAGGTGTCCCGGGACAAGAGGTGAGCCGCGCCGGGCGGGAGAAGGGAGCCCCGGGGGATGAGGTCCGGTGGCGGTACATACTCGGACCCTGCTGCGGGAATAGGGCCCCACGGGCATGGTGCCTGCCTGGGGCTGTCGCTGGGCTCCAGCCGACCAGCCAGAGGGACAAGGGCCGGACAGCGTTGCTGCGGCCGCAGTGAACTCTGTTCGCCCCGCCTCTTTCCTCAGTTTCCTCCTAGACCGGCTCCTGCAGTACGAGAACGTGGATGAAGACTCTTCGGGTGAGCATGACTGATAGGGGGACGACATGGTTCCTGGCGCGCAGCCAGCGTCCTGGGCCTCCTTAGGCTGCGGAGGCATCCAGCGGCCAGGTCTTCTTCAGCCTCGTTGCTTGCCCTCCGCCTCCACTGTTCTTCACTCGAACATTTATTGAACGTCTGTGTTGTAGGCACTGACTTTGGAGGTACTGTGGTGACCAAGATGGATGAAGTCTCTTGGAATTTTTATCCTAGCTGGGGATAATAAGTAAGCAAGAAATTAGAATGTTAGATTTGAAAGGAATAAAATCAGGCTAGAGCAGGGGTGATAAACTTTTTCTGTAAAGGACCAATTAACAACTATTTTAGGCTTTGCAGAACATACAGTCTTTGTCACAGCTACTTAGTTCTGCTGTTGTAGTGCAAAAGCAGCCAAAGGTGATAGATAGATAAGTGAGCATGGCTGTGTTTCAGTAAAACTTTATTTATGGACAATGAAATTTGAATTTCACATCATAAACTATATTTTGTCCCCCCACCCCCAACCATTTAAAAATATAAAAGCCATTCTTAGTTTGCAGACCATATAAAAGCAGACCACAGGCGATGTCTCAACAGAGTGTCCAAGAAAGGCCTTTTTTAGGGAGTAGTGTTGGTGCTAGGACCTAGGTAAGAAAAAAAAACAACAATCTTAGAAAGTATGAATGAGAGGTTTCCAGGCAGAGAGAATAACAAAATGCAAATACTCTGAGGTAACAGAAGAGTCTGAAGAGCAGAAGGGCTAAAGCATATAAAGCAGTGTTTTCAAACTTTTTAAAGCACTGTTACAATCAACAATATATTTTACATCATGAACAAGTCTCTACTTAAATACTTATAAGACAAAATTTAATGAAACAGTGTTAAGATCACTATACACATTTTTTCTGACACTTTTTAGACTGTTTTTTCTTCTTTTTTTTTTTTTCATTGAATGCTGATTGCAACAAATAAAATGACTTCATGACCTACTAATGAGTTGAGACCCACAGTTTGAAAAGCCCTAGAGTGGCATTTGTGCCTCTGTTCCAGGATGGGACCCTCAGAAGCCATGTCACATACAGTCACCTCTCTCTCTAGTCCCTTTATTATTTTTTTTAATATATTTTATTGATTTTTTACAGAGAGGAAGGGAGAGAGACAGAGAGTTAGAAACATCAATGAGAGAGAAACATCGATCAGCTTCCTCCTGCACACCTCCTACTGGGGATGTGCCCGCAACCCAGGTACATGCCCCTGACCAGAATCGAACCCGGGACCCTTCAGTCCGCAGGCCGACGCTCTATCCACTGAGCCAAACCAGTTTTGGCTTCTCTGGTCCCTTTAAACATTGATCTAGAGCAGGGTCAGCAGATGACATTCAGCCAGGCTGCTTGTTTTTGTAATAATTTTATTGGAACACAACACCATTCATTTACATATTATAGGAAGGTAGTAGATGCTAAATGAGGTCAGAGAAGTAGGTGGAAGCCAGCTCATCTAGGTCGTGGCAAAAACATTTGGCTTTTATTCTGGCTTCTCTTTGCCTGCTTGTTCCCGGGGATTCCCGGGGATTCCAATGAACTTCCTGATCAAGGGGGTTTCAGGGTAGGAAGCAAGAAAGTCGGCATGTTCATGGTCAGAGTGTGATAAATCTGAAGAGCAAGAGCTGCACACATAAGCCCACTTGTATCCTGGAGAATCCCACAGTCTGGTCAGGGAAATACCCACACATGACACATGTTAGCACAGTGTAAGGAGAACCATGACATGTGAGAGTAGAATTCTGGAACAGCCAGTGATTAACTGGGCCTGAAGGATTTTGGAAGACTTCTCAGAGAGGTGCCATTACATCACTTTTTTTTCTTTTTCAGTTACAATTGACATACAATATTATATTAGTTTCACCTGTACAATAGTGATAAGACATGTATGTGAATTTGCTTCTTAAAGGATGTATCTCAGCCAAGAAATTGAGAAAGGCACATATCACACGTAGCCGTTATTTGTCAAATGAGTGATGGACCTTGTATGTAGAGGCACAGACTTGGAAATAAATGTTTTTTTATTAAATTGATTGGCATGATGTAAAGAGTATAGTTTGGTTGGGAGATCAGAAAGGTAGGTTGAGGCCACATTAAGCATTTCAGATGTGATCAGTTTTGGGTCATTCTGGAGTTGGAGTGGACAGTGTGCTGCAGGAGAGGTGAGATTGCTTAGGGGATTTTGACACCACAGGGTAGTGGCTTGATCTTGTGGCAGTTGGAATGGGGGGCAGTGGATAAAGATAGGAGAAACTTGAGAGAGGGATTAACAGGACCCTGGATCATAGGGAGTGGAGCAGAGGGAGGAGCTGAAAGCAGCTTAGAGGCATAAATTGGCCAGGGAGTCAGAGACCTGGGTTCAAGTTCAGCCCCACACCTTACTCTTAGCCTCAGTGGCCTCATCTGAAAAGTGGAAGTGAGGCCCTCACCTTCCTTCTTGGGTGGTTATGAAGAGAAGGAGGGGCGGTGAATGCCAGGTGCCTGGTCAGAGTCTGGCAGGTAGGAAGTGCTTGACAGGTGTCACCGTGGAGGAGCCTGGCAGGAAGTGTTTGTGGGAGTCAGGTGTAAAGGACCTTCTAAGAAGTTGGAGACTCTGGGCGCGCCAGCTGAAGAGTCAGCTTGCCTGGCGCCCTTCCAGAGTCGAGGTCATACCCTCTGGGGTGGACAGGAACCCTCCCCACTGACCAGCCCTCCCCCTCACAGACTCAGATGCCACTGCATCTTCAGATAACAGTGAGACAGAGGGGACACCCAAGTTGTCGGACACGCCAGCCCCCAAGAGGTGAGAAGAAGCCATCATTCTCTGGGGATGGAGGTGGGGGGGGTGGGCACCTGGGCCTCCTAGCTTCCTCTGACCCCCTCCCCTATCCTTTCTCCAGGAAAAGAAGCCCTCCGATGGGGGGTGCCCCCTCTCCCTCCAGCCTCTCTCTGCCTCCTTCAGCAGGGTTTCCCCTTCAGGCCTCCGGGGCCCCCTCCCCATACCTGAGCTCGGTGAGTTGGGGCTCAGGGAGGGGAAATGGGAAGAAGGTGGGCATCATTCGGGCAGAGAGGCCAGGCCTCAGGGTGAAATCGGCCCAGCTCTGGGGACATCAGTCTGGGTGTGACCAGCAAGCGTCCCTTGGAGGGGTGTGAGTCATGGCTGCCTGGTTCTCTCTGGTGTAGGAATGGGGGACAGATATGACTGAGGAGAGCAGACCCCAGGACAAAGTCCTGCTGCTGTCCCATCCCCTTCTGTTCTCAGAAGCCACACTCATCATCATCTCTTGTTTTTCCATTCTTCTTCCTGTTTGCATTTTTTCCCTTCACCTCCCACCCATCCATTCCATTTCCCATCTCCATCCCCCCACTCCCACCTGCAGCTGGCTTCCCCCCCCTACCCCCCATTCCCTTCTGACTACCTGGCCCTGCAGCTGCCCGAGCCCAGCCCCCTGAGGCCCAAGCGGGAGAAACGGCCCCGCCTGCCCCGGAAACTCAAGGTACCCAGTTCGGGGGATGTTAGGGAGGGGCCAGAATGGCAGGAGGATAGCCATCTGAGGGAGGCTCAGGACAGCGGCTGGGGGCCTGTGGGAGAATTTTGAAGGATTGATTTGGGGCTGCTGGGGGCCCAGCCCAGGGCTAAGTACTGAGGGATATGGGTCAGAGAAATACTGGCTCACAGGCTCCATGTGGAGATAAATCGGGTAGGACCAGCCTTGGGGGACTCAGTAAAGATGCCTGGGATCCTGCCCTTAGACTGTTGCAATGTGACCGGGGGGCCAGGCTCATTTTCACAGCTGTTCTGTGATGCCCGGCAGCCCCAGAGGGAGGGACAGAGTTGTGGGATCTAGAATCAAGTCAGGGCTGCACCAATTGAAACCATGGGGCCTTGAGCAGGGGTCCTTCACCCTCCAAGGCTCAGATTCTGTGTCTGTATAGTGAGCAATCAAAATACACGTAATCAACAAGTGTTTTCTGAGTGTCTACTATGCACCAGGCACTGTTCTAGGTGCTGCAGATGAAGTAGTGAATAAAACAGACAAATCTCTGCCTTCGTGGAGCTCATATTTTAGCAAGATAGGCAGAAAGTAAAATAAATAGATAGCAGTGCAGAAAAATGGAGTCAGGTGAAGAGGATGGGAAGCACCAGAGTAGATGGGTACTGGTGTTTATGGTTAGGTGGTCTGGGATGTTATTTGGTAGAGACGTCACCGAAATGAGAACAAGCCATGTGGCTCTCTGGCAAAGTGTTTCAATCAGGAAGGCTAACCCGTGCAAAGGCCCTGGGGTAGGAGTGTGTGTGTGCATACTTGGCTGTTCAAGGACCGGGAAGGAGTCAGTGTGATCGAATGAAAGTCAGAGGGGGAGAATGATCAGAGAGCAGGTCAGAGAAATAACTGGTAAAATGGTGTAAGGCCTTGTCGGTGTGTAAAGACTTTGGCTTGTACCATGAATGAATAGGGAGTCTGGAGAGATTGGGCAGAGGGAGAATCTGATCTGATTTACATGTTAACAAAATTGCTGGCACTGCTGTGTGGAGAATAGACGGGAGGGAGAAGAGGGGGGGAGGGGGTCTGGTCAGGATGGACATGGGAGACCAGTGAGGAGGCTGCTGCAGTAGACCAGATAGCAGTAGAGAGGGTCTATTGCAAAGAATGAGCCACAGGAAGACCAGTGTGGGCTGTGAGAAAGAAGTCAAGGGGGACTCCAGGGTTTTTGGCCTGAGCAACCGAAGAAGTCAGGAGTGGGAGAGATGAGGAGTTTGGTTTTGGACATGTTGAGATTCTGTCTGGAAATGCCAACAGGACAACTGGGTGATGAGCCTGGGGCTCATGGGGTATGTGCTGGAAGTCGTCAGCATGGACGTGGATGCGATCACGAGTGAGAGAGGGTGGAGAAGGGGGGCGGTCTGCGCACTTAGCTCCAGGAGACATGAGGACACAGAAGGCACAGTGCCCGTCCAGCTCTGAATCCAAGTGGAATAGGTACCGGGCTGGACAGCTCTCAAGTCAGGTGGACTTTTGACTCAAGGCTCTGGAACCGGAAGTGCAATGGGATGACATGCTTGTGGTGGTGCTGGGTGTGCGTTCTAGAGTTCATCTCCCAGCTCTGCCACTTACTCCTTGTGTAACCTCGGCCCTTAAGCCTGAAAAATGGGTAGGTAATGGGTGATACACTGACCCTCCACCCTACTTAGCAAGGATTTTGTTTCTGGCCTGTAGGGCAGGATGGTGGAGATGGCAAGGGTCAGCGAAGCCGGGGGCCAATGGGCAGAGGTGTGGTGTGGCGGGGGCTTGGCCGTTTGAGGCTTTCTGAGGTGTTGGTCCTGAAGTAGAGAAGCTTTGGGGAGCTAAGTTCTAGACATTCAGGAGGGAAAATACTGGTTGGGAGAGAGGCCCAGATCAATGGCTGTGCTTGGGGAAGGGGATACTTCAGGGAAGGCCTCAAAGAAGAGGTAACACTTGAGCCCAGGGTAAGTGAGATTGGGTGTTACAGGCTGGGGCAGTGGTGGGAGGAAGACAAAGGACATGACCGGTGTTGTTTGGACTAGAGCAGGAGGGATGAGGGAACAGGGTTGGAAAGGAAACTAGGATGGGGGGATCGTAGAAGGCCTTGGCGCCCGGAGGCGGGCGGGTCTGTGAAGGGCGTGGGGGTCGTTGAGGCTTCCGAGTGACGTGGCGTGAGGAGGGAACGCTGTGCAGACTGAAGCAGGTCAGTTAGGAGCCTGGGCCTCAGTCAGACTCGGCTGGGTTTGAACCCCAGCTCCCCCATGTGACCTTGGGCATGTCATTTCACTCTGAGCTTCAGCTTGCTTCTCCTGGGGTCACGGGTCACTGTCACGTTAACATGAGCGAAGGGAAAGAACACTGAGCCCAGTGCCTGGTCCTTAGGAAGCCCCAGGTAAACATTAGCTGCTGTTGGTCACCTGAGGGGCCACTGAGTGAGTCCAAGCAGGTTAGGAAGTGGG